TCCCGCCACGTCGGAAGATTAAAGTCGCGGCGCGAGGTAAGCGTGTTAACAGGCGGAAGATGTGCGAACGTAACGCGAAGTCGCGATAGGGCCGCGATTCCACGGGACGATCGGTAAGGAGGCTGTAATGCGAAATAATGGGTATCCACCCACTCGATGAAAATTACACGAGACGCGGCCTCTCGGAACCGACCGATTCGTCCCATCCCTCTTCTCTCCCCACCCCACCTCCCTGCAGACGTGTTCCAGGGAAATAACAAAGAAAAGAAGGAGAAAGAAAGGAGAAAAGAAATAAGAATCGAAGGAGAGTGGATCGTGGCGCGCGCGTATCGAACGTGTTAGACGCTCGAGGATGCGCGAGGGATAATTGTTTAACAGGCGGGGACGCCGTAATTAAAATCGATGCAGATTCGAGATATCGAATCGATACCACGATGTAAGATGACGCGAGCTTTGCCACAGGTGGTGGTTTCTCGCATCTGTTGCTTTCAGATACGATTGTATCGACGGTTGAAACGGTGTCCAGGCGTGTTTCAAATGTTTTGGAAGATTTTGTTGTATCTCGTCCAGTGAAATTTTAAGCGTTCCAGTATTTTTGGGAGGTTTGAGGAGATATCGCGAAGTGTCTGGGGTAAAGCGATCGTAGAAAAGTTTCTTATTTTACATAGGGTGTTTTCGAATTATTGGTGGAAATTTAAGGATTGTTCAAATTTTGTTCGATAAAGTAATTATTTTCGAGATGCCAAGTGCTCAATTTGCATATTAATATTCTTTTTCTTTTAAATTGTACCTCTTTATTCTTCGAAAAAAAATAACGATTCTCTGTGTATACCCACGCTTTGAAACTAAGCAAACACGAAACATCTCAGACAAGTTTCACGTTATTTTCTCATTTTCCTAAAGCAACGTATGCAACGATCAAATTTCACGTCTCTCACCTATTATTTTTAACCCTTTGAGTACTACCTACCATCTCGACATACTGATTACTCGTGCAACGAGTTTAGTTTAGTTTTCAAAAACTAAATCACTTATGGTTATGGTTGCATATGTGACTGCGTCGTCTTCGAAGGTTAGGGGCGGAATCGTGTCAGCCGGGACACTTTTCTTTAAAGGGACCGCACCGAACGATACGTAATCCAGACAGTTTTGATTATTTTCACTTGGAAAAAAATTGTCGTCTTTCTCAAAACACGAATAAATATGTGTGCAAAATGCCGATACTGAGAAACTTATACTTTCCTTACAAAAAAATCCCTAAGAAGGACTAAAAAACGACACTCTAGACTACATAGAATACTCCATTAAAAAAGAATGCAAGGTTATGTTGCGTCCTCTATCGTCTTCATAGGTTAGGTTCATTCCCACCAAATTAGAGAGTGTAAACTGGTAATTAATCGAAGGAGACAAAAAAAGAAATAATAGGAAGCACAGACGAAAAACAAAGGTACACAGGGAAGGTAAAAAAAAGAAAAAGAAACGATCGGGGAGGGGAAACCCCGAATCTGGCCAGGTGCATGGAACATCGTGTACGCGCCCCCATCGGCTTGTCTGCCCGTTTAAATGAACCGTGCCTCGGACTCCTTATGAAAATTAATTGACATATCGATCGAGGCCGATGCGTGTGCACGTTCCGTGTGCACCAGGCTTCTCCGTTCCGGTTACTACATCCATAAAAGCAAAACGAACCAGTCTAACCTGAAGAGAAAAGAAAAGCCAACGAAAATCCGACGGTAAAAAGAAAATTTTAACGGAACCCTTATGCACGTCGTAGAAATGAGAAAGAGGAGGACCAACGAAGCGATCCTGTGTAAGAACGTTCGAACTGTCACACATATTATCATTCTTAGTCCTTAGTTTTATCTGTATTCACAACTAGTCACCCGCTTTCATCATTACTCACACTGGACTCTTCACCTTCCAACTCTCCTGCATAGTCACAACCCAAAGTCCATCTTCCCAGAACCCTTAAACAGCTCTGTTTTCTCCATTTCCGCGTTCATTCTCTGTTTCACCAAGCGCACGTCGGGTAACGTGAAAATCTCCGTTAAATAAAGTTCTGTTTCTACGCAACGACGATCCTCAAGTGTTTCAACTCAGCGATACCCCAATATCTGGCTCCTAGTTCCGAGGAATTGGAGCGAACCGGGCAACACAGAACGAAAAATCGAGCAAGTTCAATAACGTAATTACTTCAACGAAGAAGTGGGGAGAAATTTAGTGAGACGAATAAAAACAGCGAAAGAAAAATACGTGAAATATTCGTGAAATTAACAACACTAATTTTAGAGATGACCTAATACAACAACGATCTGCGAGCAAAGGCGCGCACCGTCTGTAACCTAACCTTTAATCGTCGCATCAAATCAACGAAAACGATCGTCGAACGCGTTATGCTTTCGCGACACGCTTTCAAATCGATCGTCCTCTCTATACTGCTCGAGGCTGCGGCTCGTTTTAATTAATTCACACCTACGAATACCTTATTGTACCGAAACGAAGCGAAAGCGAAGTGAAGAAAATGGTGGTGGTTCGGTGGGCGTGCCCCTCCGATGTGAAATTCAACTAAGAAACCTCGACAACAATAAAAAAGAAGAAAAAAGGAGAAAAAGAGAGAAAAACACACGTATACGTTCCTTCATCGTTTCGTACCGATCTCGTTTACATTGTTTATCGCGTTCCGTGCGAAACGACACGCACGAGACACGTTCGGACGGATACACTTCGGTGTGGCGTGGCCACGATTAGGAACGAACCGTTCGGATAATATAATAACGAAAAAAAGCCATGTAGATATAAAAATAAATAGTCGGAGGAACGGGGAGAACCCGACGTGCCACACGCAGAGACCACGCGAGACGTGTTTATAGTAATGAGCCTTGTCGTTATTTGTCCAGCGAAAGGGATTTATCGAGATACCTCGTGAGATCTTGTTGCTCGATCTTCTTCTTCTTCTTCTTCTTCTGCTTCGTCGTCGTCGTGGTTGTCTTCCGTCTTCTTCTATGGTTTCTTCCTATCTCTGTCCTCTGTAAAGATGTCCCCCTTATTTCCTCTTCGTCGCTTGCTCACTCGCCTTTCTTT